CATCTTTCATGATAACAGAGGACATTAAGTATCGGATAGATTTTGGTGTATTAGTTGAAACTATAAGCTACTAAGCACACATCAATTCCTTTTTTTTTTTTTTTTTGGGTACTGAAAGAGGAGAAAAGCTCAAGACGCTATCCGGCGAGGGTAGGCTACCCCCAACACGTCATGCTCAAGCCATGGTTTCAATCCCGCCGACGGGAACTCTAGTCGTTGCACCCCCCAGGCCCCGTCGCCGCTAGCGAAGCCAAATAGTCGGCCGAAAAGTTTTATTCTTTATAACAATAATAATATTATTTTTGAATATAATTAGAAGAATAAAATTATTTATAAATTAATATATTTATATTTCAAGTAGTTATATGATACATGTTATAAAAATTACTATAATATAACACATGAAAGTCGCACAAGTAACAAGTGTCATTCTAAAATATATAATAATATATATTTTTTGTAAAAAAGTGAATAAAATTTAAAATAATGCTTCATTAATTTTAAAATTTAAGAATAAATTTTTAATAAACACCCGTATAATACACAGGTATTGTATCAGTAATTAATAGATTCACGTCGTGTTAGGCAATTAGACTAGGGTTATGTTTGGTAAAACTAGCTGATAAGCTAATAAGCTAGCTTTTAGCTTATCAATAATTTTCAAGCTTATAGTTTATAGCTTATAACTTATAGCTGAAAAGCTAGCTTATATGATAAAAGTTTTTGGTAAAATTAGCTGATAAGCTAGTTGGAATAAAAATTCAACTAGCTTATTTGAAAAAACTACAAAAGAAGCTTATCAAATAAGCTCGAGCTTTTTTTAAAAAGCTCGTCATACCAAACAAGGTTTATTTGAATACAGTGAGCTTATAAACTAACCAAAGAAGTTATAAGCTAGCTTATTTGTCTATCAAACATAGTCTAGAGTGCAGAATGCTAAACCTGCAAAACTTATAAACGAAAAATAACAGGGTTCAAAAGGATGGGATAGGCACATGAATTAATGTACTTCATCACGAGGCAATGCCTAACTGCAATTGTTACATTTTCTACACGAAATTAATTGCAGATTCTCTGAGACATTTTAATTATTTCTGTAATTATTAATGTAATTGTTTCCGTCAGAGAGCTGCCAGTGCTAGGTAAGGTAATTCAAACAGTAGGATAGCATATGAAAGGAAAATAAATAGTTAAATAAACAAAATCTATGTTCATCTGTGGGGAAGGCCTGACAGAGGAGACGATATAAGTTTCTATCAAAGTTTTGTTCAAACTATATACATTGACATAAATGTTTCAATGATTTGTTTAGAAAACCATTTTTGTTTATTTTCATCTTAAGAAGAATTTAAGATTTAACTTAACACGGTATCAGGTTCAAGTGTGAAAAGTTATCCAGGTGACTAATGATCTATAAGTTGTCAACTTGAATTTATATCAGACATCAACATATATAAACTTTCAAATTTTGTCCCTCCAATTCATTGAGATAGATAACTTTAATTCGTGTTAAAGGATGATCAACACATGATATATATGTTGTCGGTGATAGTAAGTGTACCCACATTCCTGTGTTTCATTAATAACTAATGAGCACACGATCGGAAAGGGACTTTCACTTTGATCAAAGAATTATGCTAGAAAGATTTAGTGAACGCTTAGAATCTGAGTTATACTAAATTCCATAACCAAAAGAACTAATGGAAAGAAGGAAAGCCGGGAAGACTATAAAAAAGGAAAAACGTAGAAAGGTAGGAATAACCTCAGTCAGCTCTGGCCTTTATTAGGTCTGTCTTTCATGAACATCGGTAAGCATGCAATTTCCGTGAATTATGCTTTATGATCCCACTTCTAAACCGAGAGCTTCCTGAACTTTCAGCTTCAAGAGAGGGGGCTGATTGGAATGTGCTTTTCTTAACTTCTTCTGCTTTAGATACACTTGTGTCTGTACCTGACTGGTTCATCAAATATACGATGATACCGAGAGATGAAAAGATCAGACTAATTAAGTCGCAACTAACTTCATTATAATCACATTTCCAGAAATGTAATAAAAATGCAACATAACTATGTTAAATATACGAATTTATGTTGGGGTATTCAAGAAATATGATGTAGAACTCATACCAGATTGTGAAGAAGTTGCAAGCAGACCAATATCATTCAGTCTCCTGATTTTCTCTACAGCATGGCCATAATGGAGAGTGTCATTCATTTTGGCATGAGACATATGATTTGTTCTGTAGCACGAGCCTTTTCACATGCCTTCAATATTAGCAAGCCCGAATAGTGATCACTTCTATAAATTTATTTATGCAATACTGTAGAGAAACAAAGCATAGAGTCACTGAAGATTTTGAATAATGGAAACAAATGTCAAGCATGTTGAGCCAGGACCCTTTGAGTAACAGATGCAATCCTCTAGCCGCAGAAGTAGTTTTTTGGTATTTGGGTGAAAGTAAATATCGAGCTGTTCATGCGAATCTTCATTTTTCCAATCATATATCCGAAATTCAAATGCTAAAACAAATTACTTACTGTAACTTCAAATCATAGTTTGAACCGAGAAACATAAGAGTTATAAAATAATCCTAATGTTAGATTCTAACCACTTAGCTTTTGGTGACATAAAATACTTGAGTATCAGAAAAACACAATGATGTACCAATACTCTGCCCATGTCATTTCACAGCCACGCCACCCAGTACCCATAAACGCTTATATACACATGATTAGTCTGCATTTCGATGTAGTGTGCCAATGTGAATCCAACGTATGCAGAACAAAAGAACATCAAAGTACTTGAATATGATTTCATTTGCCAAATTGACTTACTAATCAATAACAAAGATAGATAAACCACATTGTGTCACATCTACAGTAGCCGTCCCGTCAATATTTCAAGTACGCGATATACGCAACCAGATAGTAACCTATCTCGATATCCAAATTAAATATCAATTCTAACATCACAGGGCCTTTTTTTACATGATTTGCAAGGGAATGGAATCCATTATCAACCGAGTGCTCAACAAAGGTGAGCCATTCTATAGAAGAAACCTGGAGCTCAGGGTGAGCTAGCATTTTCTTGTCGCATAACCAATGCCTCGTATCTCAAGGCCAATCAACTCTGTCAAAAACTCAGTCCAATAACAAGAACTGAAGTAGTCAAAACATCAATAATCAACAGCCAGCAAATATCCATACCAATTAAAATCTCAGGCAGAACAAAGTGAAGACACAATTTCACAGTCCAGATTAGAACAAATGCAGAAATTTTCAATGGGACAGAGCTTGAAAACAATCACGAGTATGAAATGTAAGGATAATTTCTAGCTGTGACCAGATTCCAAAGAAAATTCTCATACCAACACATACTCAAATGAAATCACGCAATTAACAAATCCAAAATGAAGATCGCACCACTGCTAAAGCAACAGAGGCAGTAATGAGATAGCACCTCAACATTAGCGGTAAGAGCAAACACACAAATCAGAAAATCGACGCGAAAGCCTAATCTCGAATAGCAATTTCTCCAAAATCGAAAATACTTAAAAATCTAAACGGAGATTGCACACTGCTAAAGCAACTAAAAATATAAAGTGACAGCACCTCAACGTGACCGATAAGAGCAAACACAGGAATCCGAAAATCGACACACAAAAGCTTAATCTCAACTGTATCCGTCGTAATTTCTCCAAAATTAAGAATATTAAAAGTTTAAAATTGGATGTTGCACACTGCTAAAGCAACAAAAACAATAAAGAGACAGCACCTCAACATCGCCGATTAGAGCAAACACGCAAATCAGAAAATCAAGGCACAAAAGTTTGATCTCGACCGTCTCCATCGCAATTTCTCCGGGCAACAAGAAGAGATTCGTCTCTCATCAGCTGTTGCAAGGGCCACTCGACTCGATTCAGCGACTGCACGTATTTGGAGGCCAGGATCGATTCCAAAATCGCAAAGTCACATCATCAAAACTGACCCAAAAAAAAACAAAAAAACAAAAACAAACAAACAAACAAACAAACATCTTACGAGCAATCTGTGTGCGATTAGGTTAAGCACGATGAAAATTGGAGAGTAATCTAACCTTCGTTTTTTGAATTCGGGAGCGAAAGAGGGAAATTTGCTGAGTTAGTAGAGATGATAGAGTTTGGCATTTGATAAATCGCGGGAGTGTTGAATAGTTGGAGCGGCTTTCGCTTAAATAAGAAAATTTGTGCATCAGTGTTCCAATTGTAATTGGACGAAGAAAAGTCCATTGGGAAGCACTTAAAACGGATCGGCCCAGAGAAATCCTGGGTAGAAGCCCGTCATTGGGTACAGCAATAGAAGTCCAGTTAATTGGATTCTTTTTCTTGGTTGACTACTAAATGAGCGTGCGATGAACTGAAAAATAGTAATTGAGGGAGAGCTTTGCCGTCCTTGTGGTCCTACCCGGTTCGATTCTGGATTAGTCGGTTCCCCTATGGATCCGAAAACCGAAAGGTCCCTGTACCAAAAAAAATAGTAATTGTAAATACAAATGATTTTTAACAAAATTGGGGGAGAATAATTATTTATTTTTATCCTTACATTTTTTTAATGTTATTGATTATTTTGTATATAGTTTATGTGTTTTGCATAATTAATATAACTTATTTTTATAAATATATATTTTAAGTACCTCTATATTATGATGTACTAACTTATTTTAATACCAAAGTCTCAACAACTTATTGATTTGTTTTCAATAAATCATGCCTTTATCAATTTCTGTAATTACTTGAAAACGGGATATCTCCTTTTTATTTCCTTCTTCATTAAATTCCCATATGAACTTTGACAAATACTCTTAACACATAATAACCTCTAAGATCAAACAATTATGAATAACATTTTAAACTTTCACACTTCATTATCTCTTTTTCTTTCTTTTCCCTTAATGTAATCCTTTAGAGGGAAATTAACATGAATCAAATTACATTATTCACACGATCGACAAGATTGCTTAGCTAACGAGCAACGGAGTTGGATCTAGGCAAGGATGACGAAGAATTTATGAAGTCGATGCAGTCGTGTATGGCCTCGGCCCTTTGAGAATCAACGGGTGTAACACTCGTCTTAGCTTTCTCCTTATTTAGATTAGCATTATTATGATGGCGATGGCGAGGCTTGGGGGCATTGGTGGGGTCCGTGGTCGCCATCGGGGCAATGGCCCCCATCACTTTACGCCACACGCGTTTCATGTACTTCATGGCCCCAAAATCGCAGTTTTTGGTGCACGTGCCTTTTCTGTGCTCGTTTTCACCTTTCTTGTTCCCTTTCGAGCTTTGCCCGTGGAAGTCGATAGTACCTGACATTAGTTCGAGAGCAAGCACCTGAATAAAATTTCGTCCTTCGCTTTTGGTTCGTATGTGTTTGTGTGTATGGATGGGAGAGGAAAAGTGAAGAAATAGTGAGGAAGTTGTGGTGGGTTTATATAGACATGTAGTGTGAAGGTATAGTTATAGCTTATAAACAAAGAAAGAAAGAAAAAACAAACTTTTAGTGGCCATCTTTTTTCCATCCACAATAAATGGATATATATGAAACACTAATTTATTATCTACTCATTTTAGGGAAAATGAAAATTAACACAAAATCAAATTCTATAATTCGTGATTTTTTAAGAACTTTTGTTAAAGTAGTATATAAAGAATTGAAGATTCCCCCTAACACTATAGTTGAACTTGAATGTATCCTAGCTCCTCCACCTTTTTGGCGCATTTGAGCTACTTTCTTCGTTGAATGGTCCCATCGTATACTTCAAACCTTCAACCCTTTTTTTTTTCTTCAACTTTCTTTAGTTTTTTTCTAGGAGTGTTATTCTAGTTGAATTGGATCGAGTCGAACACTTCTGTTTGACTTCATGCTCGTTTAATGAACGGGTCGATTCAACCCGACTCATTTAACAAATTTCAAATCGTAAGACTTGTGCATTTGGAGATATGTTTGATTTTATTGTTCATTCGAAATCTACATAATCAATATAAATAAATATGTAAGTTTGTTCGTGGACGAGCTCGACTCAACTCGCGTAAGTGAAAGAATGAGTCGAGACTTAAACGACGGTTCGACAAACTCAAATTTTTATGGATCGAATCTAACTAGTTCGCGAATAACTCAATTTTTTTTTTAATAACTTGCGACAGATTGTGGGCCATGAATTTTGGAATCTATCAACACTTGAGCCGACTTAGCACTCTAGTTTGTCTACCACTATTGTCCAGAAAAGCAACTGTTTTTATTTGTTAGTGGAAATTGCAATATAGATCTCCTAATTCTTGGGTAATACCGAATTGGGCCCTGCACAAGTTCACTTCAGTAAAAGCGCCATGTATCTCCTACTAAATCAGATTTAAGTACTAAATGTTACGATCCCATTACGGAATCATTCCGTCGGATTTATAATCGTTAGATCATTATATAACCGTCGAGGATGGTTGATCTAACACAGTTACAAAACAGAATCCTCCTATATGCTATAGTCCCATCTTGTGGCTGTCTTTGCATGCATGAAAACCGCGAAAACAATACAGAAGGAGTGGCTATTGTCTACTCCCTTAAACACAGGACCAAGTGAAAGCTACTGACCAGACAAAGATTTCCTAAATTTTTGTACCCCACATTTCCTCGGAGTCTTTCGTCTTCCACTTCTCACCTGTGTTTGTTTAATCATTTTTTCCCATGAAAATTGTATCTTATCTGTTTTTTTCCATGATATTTGTATCAATGATAGACTGAGAAACGAACACACACAACAAAAAATGGATACCAATGCACACGACATTCAAATTTGTCTATGCAAAGGTTTAAATTTTGTATCTAGGACATGTATTACATTTGCATTAAGACACCCATACATCTCACTATCCACGTTGTGCTTGTTCCTCGTGTACATGGCCTTCCCACTAATCTTCTGGGTTTTGGTCTACTCATTTCCCCTCATCGTTTGCACCGGCATCATCCTTGGCACCTCCTTCAACATCCGACGATCGAAAACGTGCAAAAACGAGCGCGCCCCACAAACCGAATCGACATCGGAAGATGATTCATCGTGCTCTAATACCAATCGAAAGCCCGTCTCGCGAGTCCACTCCGTCAGGCGGAGACGAGCGAAAGAATTCAAGGACAAGAAGAATTACGACATGGTGGACAAAAACGCCCTTACCGTAGAAAACATCCCCAAGGACATCCGAGAAGTTGAAGTAGTCGACTATTCGTTAGGCAACACCACCGCCAACAGTTCATGTTCGGCCTCAGAGAGCTCCAAGCATGATTTCGATGAGAATAATGACAACGATAATTTTAGTAATTATAATAACAATAGTAATACTATTAATAGTAGCAATATTATCAAGGCTATCATGCAACAGAACGAGCCAGAGGACGACCGGCAAAAGAACAAAATGGACGTCGTGATTTCGGACAGCGAGCGAACCAAGAGGCTCGAGAGCTTGATCGCTCGACGGAGGTCGAGGAAGCTGTTGAGCCTCGAGGTTCGGAGGACACTAATGAAAAAAGACAGAGGGGAGCACCATCATATTTCTTCCATTATTATTCCGAAAAGCGGTGCAGGCGGGCGGTTCTTGGTGCCGGGTAATAACCCGCCTAGCCCGGGTTCAGCACCGTCGGTTTTGATACCAATGAGGAACCCGTTTGACCTGCCGTATGACCCGCAGGAGGAGAAGCCGGACCTAACGGGGGATGGGTTCGAGCAGGAGTTCATGCCTGGGAATGGAAGGGACACGATGTTCTGCAGGCACGGGAGCTTTAGTTCGGGGGCTTTCTTGCCGGGAGAGCTGGGTGCAAGGGAGGTCTCGTCGTCTTTGCCGGAGTCGAGATTCGTGCAGAGGAATTTTTCTTCGCTGGGCTGCCGGCAGTTTATCCGGCCAGGAGGAAGTGAATTTGGTGAGCACTAAATAAATAAATAAATAAATGAAATTGTAGTGGGTTCATGTACAAGTAGGAATATATCATACATAATTTCATTCAGGCTACCTCAGATGATTCTTTGCTTCTCCCCCTATTCATCGTTTATTCCTTCAGAATTTCTCATTCTCTTTTTCTTATTTTACATGAAAAGATAAGGAATTCACCCCGATACTGGAGCACGAGCCGCACGAACCACCCGAGTCGGAAATAACTTTCCACACTCCCCACGGTGACCATATCAAGGAAGTCATCCAAGTGAATGAGAACAATGGCGACGAATCACAAACACGACCCTCCCAAGAAGAGCAAAATACAATCGGCCCACGCTCGTTGTCCCCCTCGTCGGACGAGGATGCTCCCATCTTCAGGATCGACCGAGATGCCATCCTGAAATCTCTCTCTTCCATGGCCCGTCGAAATTCCCCGCTCGAAAAGAACACCGAGCAAAGAGAGGACCACTTGGGTGACTTAAGAGATCGACTCTATTACTCGGATAGGATTGCCCGCCGGCACATGGCTTCCAACTCAATCGCCTCCGATTTGCAGGTGGAGGTCTCGGAGCTCAGCTCACCACCACTCACAATTGATGAGAATCTCTCGTACCCAGATTTTGACACGGACTCTTGGGCCGGGTCGTCCCTTCTCGACCTGTCATTGGCCGATGATTACGAGGTGGGTAGGGTCGAGTTCCCGGAGAGCAACGAGGCCCTTGAGGATCCGGATGAGATACAGTGCGGTCACCCATGGTGTGCGATTGCTGAGTTCCCGGACAGCTGTCATACGAAACGCTCGATGAATTTGGAAGACAAGCTTGACAAGACCCTGCAACGGTCGTTCAGTCAACTCGCACAAGCTTCAACCCCGTGCAAAGCTAAGAAACATGAGGTGAAAAAAGAAGCTGAGAATCAAGAAAGCATTGCATATAATGCTGATTAGTTAATTTGACTGTGTTTTGTGTTTTGTCTTCTGATGATGATGATAGGAACATTTTGATCCGCTTAAAGAGACAGATGAGTTGGATGTTCTTCACGACACAAACCAAAACAAAGTGGCTGCAACCGTCGAAGACCTTGGAGAAGAGAGTGCAAACCTCTCTGGAGATTCTGAAGAAATGTTGGAGGCCGAACACCTTGAGATGATCATGTCCTCACCGAATGTTATCGAGGACCAAATTCAGCCCGAATTAACACAAACTACTGAAGCTTTTGCTGAAGCAAGCAATAATCGGTCGGATCAAGGAACTAATGTCAACGAATCGCTCCCTAGCTTGGTGCCGAATCATGTGGCTTTCGGGTTCGTTCAAAGTTCCTTGCCGTCACCGAAATCCGTCCTGCACCCAACGTGTTCGGTGTCGAGCTTTGATCATTATCTTGATGAAGACATCCATCAAACTCCAATTACACGCGAGAACACGACACCTTTCACAGGGCAATCGGCAGCTCTTCCAGACTTTGACGGAAGGTCCGAAGTTATTGAGGTCAGGTTTAATTTTGCCTTTCATTTTTTCTATTTCAAATGGTAGGAAAATTATGAGAGAAAATATCGTAAGAACTAGTATATACTAACTTACAGACTGCACGTCCCGGTTTGAATAGCAGGTATTATCCGAACGTTTGACCACACATACAACAGAAGAAGCTGCCAGTGGCCGCTCAAGCATAGATAGTAGTCGTGAAGCACAAACAGAGCCATTCGAGGAAACTAGCTCATCATCCATTAATAATGATGACGAACAATCCAGCAAAAATGTACTAAGTGCTCAAAGTACAAATCAACTCGACGAACAGAATCCTCCAATATTAACGGAAGAGGTAAATTTATGTCTTTTCACTTTGCCTGTAAAAATTTTATCCCTGCTTATTTCTAATGGTATAATTACCACAAAGTAACTGTTTTTTGGAATTGTCTGCAAACATTTATTTTCCTATTATCAATATTGACCACACAGCATGAAATGCCACGAGCAGGAATTAAATGAGCGTAAAGAGATTGTCAATGGAGAGGCAACAAAAGGCGATACCAATGAAGTGGCTCGTGCAGACTCACATGAAGAGCAAGGACCTAACGAGCACAATTTGGGTAAACCCAATGATCAAAAAGGACAAGAAAACTCAACTTCACATTCGGTTGGTGCAACAAAGGATGAAATTGTGAATGTCGTGACAAAGGATAGTACTTTATTTGAGCACTCGGGACCAGTAAAGGAAAATGTTACCTCCACATCGCACGAGAAAAACGAAGAACACGCAGAAGCAGCACATATTCAGACCACAGACAAATCAATGCCAGTTCCGGAGAGCGAACAGGACACCGATGCTACTTTGACAGAAGAAAGAAAGTAAAAGATTACACAATCCGAGTTAACAACTCGAGAAGTTAAACCCGCATCCCCTGCAGGTATGTATCAAATCAAGCAATGTCTTGACTTATTTACTTGGTAGGTTTGTCTGTAAATAAATTTAAAGTATTTTGGTGCAGAATACATGAAACTCAACCCATCCAAGAAGGCGACGTGCATAGTTTCGAAGCAAAGTAAACTGCAAGTTTCAAAAGCACAGACTTGAAGAATTGAAATGTAAATGATCCCTCCTTTAGTTGATTAGAACTTCATAAATTGAACGATTATAACATACATCAGAGTTTGAAAGGCTGTATAAAACCAAATTTTAGCTTAGAAAAAACAACAGTGTACTGGAGATAGATAAATGAGCATGCCAAAAGCCTTGTCAAATATATTTAGCTCATATTTTGGAGGTTAGTAAATCCTAGTGTACCACGACAGAGTGTTTCATACATGTGTTGTTGGACAGAGTAAAATGTTCACTGAGAATCTAAGTTTTCCTTCACTAGGTCTATCCAAAAGAGTTATTTCCTTTGTGAAAACCATAACTTTCCCTGTAAAATCATGCATTTTTGTTCAAATCAACACATCGAATCAACTTTGACACATCACCTCGACTAACTAGTTCTCGTGAGTATTGGATTGAGTTAGTGTTTGCTGATAATAGCTTGCAAAACATAGCTACCTTTTGTCTTTATATTTGCATAATACCCAAGCTCTTATCTTCGACCAAAACAACTACAGACAACTACGGAAATAACAAACCAAAAGTGGTATTTGGAATAAGACAAAGTGAAAATTTTGTTGGGAATTTTATAGGGAGAATTAAAATAAGATGGCTTAAATATATAATACCGAGGCCTTTGAGAACACAGTGTCTTTAAAACAGATTCGCCCCGTATGAGCGTCTGTTTCCCAGGATACAACGGAAAAACCGAAACAAATTCGGCGAACTGGAACTATGTCTGAACCAAAACACTTAAAAAAGGAGAGGAAAAGCCTTTACTTGTGTTTTTCTTTTCTTGAGTTCGTATCTCTTTTCTTCACAAGAAGCAACCTTATATAGTCATAATACAAGGCACTTCATTAATTAAACCATTTAAATCAAACTTAATAAAGTTGAGTCAAATGTAACATTAATAAAACCAAGTTACATATTTTGAAAAGTGAAGACACGGTTTCAAATTAAATTTTCAGTTGCAACTTTCATTCACAATTTTCCAACAAATTTGACATTTTTGCAAACTCCCCATAAACATTCAATGATTCGAACAAGAACCCCAATTTACGTAGTATAAGCATTTACATATCACGAGTTCAGGCACTATACCTCTGCATGTACTATGGCAGCAAATTATTGCAATCTTCAAATTCACAGAATTCGAATGTTGCTTGTTAAAGTTCATGCATGATCCATGCACACGTTCATGGACAGTTATTATTATTTTAGCAGAATAGATTAATTTCTTTAGTTGGTTGGTTACATGCTTGTAGTGGTTCTAGG